CGCCCCCTACCTCGTGGCCTCCTGTTACGTGTCCTGACGTAGGGTCCAAGTCTCCTAAGTTGCATTCGATGAGAAAATCACGTTCCCGAAGGTTTCATTCCGTTTGGACTCCATTTGATATTCCTTTTCTTCGAAATCCTAAAACAGGCAAAAAACAACAATTCTGGGATGGGCCTCCGATTAATAGGTTAGTCCCAAAAATAATATAAAAGTGGATAATAAAGCCCAATAATGTCCAAAACAGTAGATAATATAGCATGGAGCAATCAAAAATTATAGATACGTTGGAGACGTATCAGTGACGTCCCGTGAACTCTAGATCCAGCTGAGTTCAAGGGAGAGTTTCGTCAGTACGACGGCGTGATGACGGTGATGATGAAGTTACCGACGTACGGCTTCGCCTAAGCTCTACAAGATATGACCGAGGTGGAAATCTATGGAGGAGGGAACTGCACACGGCTAAAACAATCAACTTGTGTGTTCTAGGGTGCCCCCCTTCCCACGTATATAAAGGAGGGAGGGGGAGGCCGGCCGACCCTCCTTGGCGCGCCCCCAAGAGGGGAATCCTACTAGGACTCCAAGTCCTAGTAGGTTTCCACCAAAAGGGAGAGAGTGGGAAGGAAGGAGAGGGAGAGGGGAAAGGAAAAGGGGGGCGTCGCCCCCCCTCCTAGTCCAATTCGGACTCAAGGGGGAGGGGGCTCATGGCCTGCCCTGGCCGCCTCTCTCTCTCTCTCCACTAAGGCCCATCGAGGCCCATTAGTTTCCCCGTGGTTTCCGATAACCCTCCGGCACTCAGGTTTTATTTGAAACTTCTCTGGAACACTTCCGGTGTCCGAACATATCCGTCCAATATATCAATCTTTATGTCTCGACCATTTCGAGACTCCTCGTCATGTCCTTGAGCACATCCGAGACTCCGAATTACCTTCGGTACATCAAACCACATAAACTCATAATACCGATAGTCATCAAACGTTAAGCGTGCGGACCCTACGGGTTCGAGAACTATGTAGACATGACCGAGACTCACTTCTGGTCAATAACCAATAGCGGAACCTGGATGCTCATATTGGTTCCTACATATTCTATGAAGATCTTTATCGGTCAAACCGCATAAAAACATACGTTGTTCCCTTTGTCATCGGTATGTTACTTGCCCGAGATTCGATCGTCAGTATCTCAATACCTAGTTCAATCTCGTTACCAGCAAGTCTCTTTACTCGTTCTGTAATGCAACATCCCATAACCAACTCATTAGTCACATTGCTTGCAAGGCTTATAGTGATGTGCATTACCAAGAGGGCCCAGAGATACCTCCCCGATGCACGGAGTGACAAATCCTAATCTCGATCTATGCCAACTCAACAAACACCATCGGAGACACATGTAGAGCATCTTTATAGTCACCCAGTTACGTTGTGACGTTTGATAGCACACTAAGTGTTCCTTTGGTATTCGGGAGTTGCATAATCTCATAGTCATAGGAACATGTATAAGTTATGGAGAAAGCAATAGCAGTAAACTAAACGATCATCGTGCTAAGCTAACTGATGGGTCAAGTCAATCACATCATTCTCTAATGATGTGATCCTGTTCATCAAATGACAACTCTTTGTCCATGGCTAGGAAACTTAACCATCTTTGAATAACGAGCCACTACTAGGAAAAGGCTAATTAGTGGCGCACCTGTTTTGGCCATTAATGACGCACTACAGGTGCGCCACTATTAACACGCCACTAGTAACAAGTACTAATGGTGCACCCCTGGTGCGCCACTAGTATCCCAGATTATAGTGGCGCACCAGGCAGTGCGCCATTAGTATGTCCCCTGGTGCGCCATTACTATGCCTCCCAGGGGGCCATATTTACCTTGTGCTTTGGGTTACTAATGGCGCACTACTAGATAATGCGCCACTAGTATGTTTATTGCAGTGCGCCACTAAAGTGCAGTATGGTGCGCCACTAGTATGAATATTAGGAATTTTTTTCTTTTCTGATATTTGCACAAGTTACAAAATATATTACTACACAGAATATAGATAGCACAACATATAAACAGCAGATTTATCGAATACAAATAGAAGATTAGTCTCCGAATACAATTCAGAATATTAGTCTCCGAATTCAAAAGACCGAACAAAGTTAGAACATTACAAGTCTCAAGACCGCGATTAGCGAGTTTGTCTTCACATTACAAGTCGATATCGATCATCTAAAGTGCCATCACATAGAAGAGAGCTGCGGTCATCACGATTAGCATCATCACGATGAAACTGGTCTTCATCCGGTTCCTCCTCCGCTCCCTCCTCTTTCCTGCTAGATAGCGCGCGTATCTAGCTTCTGTCTCTGCCCTAGTGGTGTACCCTTTGTAACTGTTACTGCTGAAACGGTGAACCTGTCTCCGACACTCCTCCCAGTTGTCGTAGACTCCAGGAACCTTACCCTTGTACACGACATGCGACGGCATCTCTGTGCACTAGACAAACAAAATGTTAGTAGCAATTCACAGACAATACATAAGAAATATATAAGTATGCAACAAAAGGATCGGAAGAGAAAAGCAACACATTAATAGCATGATTCATGGTCCTACTAATAAATAGCATCGATTACATATAAGTTGAACGACTGTCCAAACCAAAGAGACATACAAGTTCATTAAAGTTTAATTACAACATGAGTTAATCGATATTTCAGAACTACATAGCATCACTACTTTCGACTCAACTCAGGGACCGGAGCGTGGATGAAGCCGCCGTCTTTCGTGATGGTCATGAAATTGCGATTGTTGTCAGCCTGCATTTGTAGCGTTGTTTCTATCTCACTATTGGACGGTTGATATCTGAGGTAGAACTGCCCCGAGGTACGAAGGACATCTTGATGGATGATTTCCTCAAACTCCGA